GAAAGAGAAAGAGAGAGGGAGCGAGACAGAGACAGAGACAGGAGACGAGACAGTCACAGACACAGGTATCAGAAGTTATGCCCATGATATACTTTTCTTTTGGCAAGATACGTTTTCATGCACTTGTATGTTGATGTTGATCTGAAAATACTTCTTTGTTATTGGCTCGTGGATCACTGTGCTGGAAGCTATTTCCGAGTTCACATTTGTGAATCTCGTTTTCCATTTTCTTATGAATGTCAATATTCCCCTGTGGCATCTTAAGCCATCTGTGGTTGCGACAGCTTCCAAAATTAAATTTGCGATGATCCTGCCAGGTTTCTCTGTACTGACAGTGTGCAGTGAGAAGTATGATGGATTGGACAGTTTTACAATATTTGACTATACTGACAGTGTCAGGCGAGAACTTTTATGCATGATCTACGTTTAGATTGTTATTATGGCTGATATCGAGACTCTGGTCACCTGCTACTCTTTCATGATTTTGATTTGGCATTTTCTCATTCTTGTTTCGTGATCTCAATCATGCCACTGTTTCGTGATCAAGGCTATAGTCTCCTGTTCTGGTGATGGTTATAATTGTATCACTGTTTCTTGATATGCAGAGATCGTGACTATGACAGAGATTATGATCGAGATCGAGATTATGATAGAGACTACGATAGAGAACTTGGGCGTGGTAGGGGCCGTGAAAGGGACAGGGACAGAGATAGAGATCGGGATACGGATCGTTATAGAGACAGGGAAAGGGATAGGGATAGGGACCGAGAAAGAGACAGAGGTCGGGAGAGGGACAGGAGAGACAGGGGTAGAGGAAGAAGCCGGGATCGGAAAAGACACGGAGACGAGGATGACTCCTGGGACCGGGAAGAACCGAAGAAGAAAAAGAAGGAAAAGAAGGAGAAGAAGGATGACGGAACCGATCACCCAGACCCTGAAATTGCGGAAGCCAATAGACTCAGAGCGTCTCTCGGATTGAAACCATTGAAGCTTTGAGCTAACACCAGAGAGGGAAGACCCTGAACCGGATTTGTGTTCCGGTTATCGAGATCATACCGAACTGAACGTCTTCTTGTACCGGTAAAGTGTGGGTTTAGTCGGGTTGTATATCGGATCATTTGTTAGTCCTTTGTATACCAGACCATTACGATGTTTCTGGCATTCGGACATCAATACAGTAATCAACATCAATCTTATGAAATATATATAAAAAAAAAAAATACAATTCGATTCAACCATATTACATTCTATATCCATACCGAAACCATGAAACCTCCCAAGAGAAAAAAAAAGATTTCACTTCTCATGGAACAAAAAACCATTATCACTTGGATTAAGAAGACCAGAGAGTTGAAGAGGTTTGCATTTGCCTCCCATCAGAATCCTCCTCTTGCACAGCTCATCATCATCATCGTCATCCGACGGCTCAGATTCTCCCGCACCCCCTCTATTGATAAAACTCTGTCCTTGCCCTAATTCAGACCGACCCTTTTCGGAGAACCTCCTCATCTTCCCCTTTCTGAACAGTTTCGACAGAAAAGTTTTCGTCTTTGAGACTTTCACTGAAATCCCTTTGCTTCTGGATCTCTCTGATAGCCCGTTTGAGGACGATTCCTGTTTCTTGCTCCCGAAGAAAGCCGAAACCGCCGAACCGACCCATTTCTTCTTCGTCCTCTTCATCACATTTCTCTGGCGATTGCGATTTTCTTCGATAAATTGTGAACTCATCGTTTTCTAATCACTTCTCCCGCTGCTTTAGGGTTTTGGGGAGCGATCCAAGTATTGGGTTTTAGGGTTCCTCTGCTCTCTGTGTCTTGGAGCTTGGTGAGTGCTTCGGAGAGAAGTAGAATATGGGCATTATTATTATAATAATAACAATACACAAATATTTACTATACTTATTGAATTGGCATTTTAGGAGATTCTCTGCATACAAAGTTTTTAGTTCTTTTCCAAAATCAAGTGTGAATAATAAATGATTAGACATACATATGCAAACAAATCTGATTCCTATATCTACTACTGCAATAATAGATAAATCCCATTTTATGAGGAAATTGAGTCAAAATAATAATTAAATTAACCAATGTTAAATGGGTTCGAATCATGAAAGCAGTCTTTTGCAAATATTTCTGTAAGATTGCCTACAATACACTGTTGGGATCCGGACTGCTTTTTAAATGTTAAATGGTATAATTGGTTGAGAAGGGAGGATGTCTTTTCCCATGTTCGAGCGAACTCATCTGAATACCAAAAACAATTTATGATATATTACAAAATAAACGATTTGAATATTCGGAAATAGAATCGGCTTGAGGGACATTACCCAATTTTTTTCATGCCGTTGAATTTCATTGTAAAATCTGAAACAGTACACCTATTTGGATAAACAAATCAAAGTAGATACGAACTCAATAATATATAATTATATTAGAGCTAATTTTTATATAAAAATCGAATAGAATGGGAAAATCCAACTCAAACCGAATTAAAATGGAATATAAATTAATAAAAAACAGATTTTTTTTTTAAAAAGTATCGAAACAAATCCAATATAGAACCGAATAGACGATTTTCTTTTGACTTTAACCAATTTCAGAAGATGTTTTTGGCGGTTTGCTCCAGAAAACATTCTTCCTCTAAAACAGCCATTCCCAAGAGCCATGACAAAAAGGAGAGATCCAAGCTTTTCTCTCAACAAACTTCCTAGCTTATAGGGTGATTCAGACTAAGCAGATTCACTAATCATAGATTTAGGACAGAAGTTAATCTGATAATGAGCCCCAGATTTTATATGCAGGCACCTAACAATGATCCAAACTGCATTCATTTACCAAATGGCTGCATCTATGAGTTCCTTCCTACACACAAAAAAAAGATGCCTATCTATGATGGTTATAAGCCTCATATTCAATTTCACCAAACAACCTCTATCATTACCATGGCTTTGTTTTTCCAAGACAAGTCATCTCACCGGAAAAAAAAAAGTGGTGCCAAGTTTTCTTCTCAGCAGAAGCACGTTCAGATTGCTCCAGAGAAACGTAAATCGGGAGGGCCAGGTCCCAGTATCCCTTTCTGTTCACTAATCTTCCCTAATCCATGAGATGATGTCTCTGCAGGTGCGTTAACATCGGCATTCACAGGCTGTTCTCGCTGCAATGTCACAGACAACGTCTTGACAAATTGACCGAATATTGGATATTTGAATCAAATCAACAAATTCTGGGTAAAGAACCGCAGATTGATGCTACTGATCCTTGTTAACCATCAACCATCCAACTTAAGCAAGCAATGATTTTCTCTCTTTGCCAAAGCCTTAGCCACTTTCTCCTTGTTCAAATCAACATTTAAATAACAAAAGCAGCACTTGCCTCATCATGATTATATGTTTGCTCAAAAGCTACGGGGGTTGTAAGAGGAGGTGCAAGATCTGGGTCAGGCTTCTGAAGTATGAATGTAGCATATAGACCTGTGTACAGAAGAATAAACAAGCAACAATCAACAAACAAATTATTAAATGGAGATATGAGAAACTGATATAAGATAACACGGCATAATGTGACAAAGAGAATACCTAACAAATCAAATGGTCGTGGAAGAAGTCTTCCTCTAGGATCAAGAAAATTCGGACCAGCATTCATCAGCATGCTTGCAAATTGGGTTCTTACAGAGAGAGACGACGTCAACATCAACAGTGTGAGACAATGCTCATAAGAAACAGTGATGATAGATAAACACAGGGGAAAGAGGGTGAAAACATATTCAGGTACCTGTTATCATCATAAAATTCTGTTAAGTTTTGAATTTCCACATACTCGAGGCCAGCCTCTCTCGCTAACCTACGATACAAATACAATATGGAAATTAGAAGACAAGAATCACAAGATGTGAAAGATTTGGAGCTGTTTGTAGCTCAATGTTCACCTTCTTGCCACCGTAATGAAGAACATCAAGAGTTTGATAGTAGTGGAGATCATGTTAGGTTCATCTGTTCTGTTCTATGGATTTTGGTGTTTAATCCTTGAACTAAGGGATTTACAATGAAATCCAAGGCCAAAAGTTGATGAACCAGCACAAGGGTTTTAAGTTTACTGACAATCATGGGGTAGTGTTACTTTTTGCTATTGAGAAAATGAACCAAGCATGTCTTGAAAAAATAATCTGCTGTAAACATTTTGGTGAGTTCATGGTATACAAGAACATACATGATCGAGATCAATTGGAAAGACAACTGAATCCATTAAAAAACAGAACCCACCTGATTAAGCTCGGGAAGTGAACCAAGAAATGGTTCTCAGAGTTATCATCACCGGAAAATTTGAGCTGGTATCTCTTTCCAAACAGAGGAAATCTGAGAAGCAACCATGGAAAAGTCTGAGATCATCAGAGGAACGTGACACAGAAACTACAATGCACTTATTGAAGAAGAGTGCTTACTTTTCTTCCTCAACTTCAAAAGTGATAAGGTAATTTTCTGATCGAATGCAGTTGGGGAAAACATTAGGCTTCATGCCTCCGCTCCTGTTATGGTATGCTTCCACATTTTTCTGGTACTTTGCCCTGTTTGAACAGAATGTTGATATTCGAGCATGGTCCAAATGGATTAAATATAGCAAAACACAGCTGATGTTGAAGTGAATCAATGCATTGGATAATATGACCACAGAAAGGAATACCAGCTGAAGTAAAATAAAAAAAATTATTAAAAACAATCAGATGATATAAGTACCATTGAACCAAGATTTTTACCTAGGCAAACAAGATTTGCTTTTCATTTTCAGAAAGTGGAAACGAAAAATTAGAAAGTTAAATGCGGAAAGAAACGTCCATTCCGTCAAAAAACATTCAATAGACAAAGAGAAAACATCCATTTTGAAAGAAAAGAACCACAAGGACAGAAGAAAGTTATGATCCATAACTTAGAGACACAACAGACAAATGAGAAGAAAACCTAAAACAAGAAAGGTTCTGATGAATGTTATTTCATACCATATCGTAGATGAGTCAGGAGTAATACCGAAAAAATAACCGCCCGGCTTCAGCAAATGTGCTACATTATTTAGAAGTCTTCTAGCACTTTCCTCATTACCAAAACATAACTACAACAACAAGATACACTATGAATTTCAGATAAACATATTCACATGCTCCAATGGGCTACTTCCCCAGAAGGAAAAAATGGAAATGAAATGGATTATGGATATGTGTAAAGCTCTCGAACCTGCAGATGCTGCCAACAGCAAACTAGATCAGCTTCCCCAGCCTTCGCTGATAACTGGTTTTCCAAATTGTCCTGCCCGATCGATGATGCACACACAGACGATTATGAAGCTGTTAGAAGTGCAGACTGCCTTAATGTTTTCCACAGTATCCACAGAACCAAATTTTTGGTTTATAATGTCCTGATTTGCATCATGTCAGTCAAATTACGCTTCGTTTAATTGTTCAGCGTCAATCAACATGCCCTAGACATATATTGTATAACAAGCAGTAAACTTTGTCATGGACAAAAATATTCTTCAAATCGAATCAAGAACGCTACAACAAAGCTCTTAAGCAACTAAAAGCCAGCATGCATGATCATATTGATCGGTGATAAATTAAAGCAACTGCCCCGAACTGTACATTCTGAAAATATCTCACCGGCGGAAGGCAAACATCAGCTATAACAAGAAACAGCTACCATCCCCAGACAAAATCAACTTGTAGCTCACATACTAAAGCATATCCATATATATGTTCATTAGTCTGATAAACACAAAGACGAGCAAATACATTGCTATCACAAAAAAGAAAATCCAGCTAACTGATGAAGCATCACTATCGCAACAAAGTTTGTTCTACAGAAAGACAAAACACAAAAATCTATAGAGGCAAGTTTTTTTTTTTGGGGGGTTAAACAAAGAGGCAAGCTTCACCTTGCAAGGATCAGCTTCAAAGAACTCCACAGGATAATTCTTCCTCTGACTCTCCCACGCTTCTCGGACGGCAACAATCCCAGACGACGATACATCTGACACGATTCGCCAATACCCATCATTTCAAAAAACCGTATATACCGATGAATACGTATATAAGGCTAATCCCATCAGAGCAATATCATTACCGATTCCGATGTAGTGACCAACTGAAGCAGATTCCCACTTGTCGGCGTCCGGAGCTCCTCCACAGTACAACTCGCAAACCTGAAACCCAGATTCCAGAAGAACGAGAGTTTGAAATTGGACCCAAGAACTAGAAACGGGAGATGAAACGAAGGAAGTAAACAAGAGAGGGTTGGGTTTCGTGCCGTAGCGTAGGGATGAGCGAAGATCTTGACGAGAGCCGTCTTGGCGAAGTCGTAGAGACGATGGTGTGTCTGCTCAGTTTTCAGAGCCGCGAAGATTGTTGCGTCTGTGTCTGTCATAATAAAAAAAAGAAAAAAGAATCGTCGAAAAAGAATAAACCCGTTTTTGGAGAGTATACCCCCTCGTTTTTAACTGTCGACCTTTTTTTTTTTTTTTTTTTTTTGTGAAGTTGTGCGCAGAATTTCACTCCATCGATTCCCGGCTAGGCTGCTACTGAGTCTGGACATATATATGCAGGAGACTGAACCATCAAACATTTTAACGATGTGAAATTACCCATAAGCTAAGGCCCAAGGACATATCTTGTTCGTCGAAAGAATACCCAATTTATATTTGCATATATAAACACACAAAATTTATAAATTTTAATATTAAAGAACTGATAACGCTATTTAAATTAAATGAAATATGGTGACGAAAATCTGAGTTAAACGTCTAAAAACCGGTGATATTATCACGACAAATCATTTAAAAGGAATAAACCCTAAATTCTTATATACATACAGAAACAGAAACATACACACACATATATATATATATATATATATATATATATATACACATCAGACTAGTCGTCCGTTATCACACCGAGTACTTTCTTCATTTGACATCTGCTCGCTTAAGGTTTCATACATCAGACCATACAAACAACTGAAACAAAGACAAGATTCCAAAAAACAACTCCTTGAAGATCTGACAAAACAGAAATGCTGGCTGCAATAAGACAGCGATAATAAAAACCAAACTTGAGTTGTTTCTTTACTTACAACTTGGAGATGCCCTGTTACTGTTAGTATATTAACAAACCCTACCACATTAACACCATAGACGAAGCCGGATTTCCTCTCTCCGGAAGTCAAGTGAGTAATCGACATCCGCCAAAGGTCGCAAACCCGACAAGTCTTGGCAAAACAATCGAACAAGAATCGGATCTCTAACTCTTCTCCTCTACAAACATTTGCTTGTTTCCACACTAGTTACAGCTATGACCATTCTATTACTACTTTACTACTCAGACTCTGCCCATCCGGCTATATGAAGGAAAACAAAGGAGAACAGGTGAATAGAAAATTTACCACAGGGGAAGACAAGACAAAGACAGTCGTGGGTTCGGGTTTTAATTGGGTCTTTTGCCTTCCATGGCATCTTTCTTTTTCTTGCAGGTTGTGCACAGGAAGGGTCCTTCCCATTGCTTTGAGGCCGAGGAGAGGAGAGCGCCTCCATTGGTTGATAAACCTTCTGCATGGGACTCATCCGCTTGGCAGACCGCGCATTTTAAGAGTCCAGTGTCTGTGTTCGAGGGCATATCCTTTCCCAACCTTGCATTCGGAAAAAACCGTAGTTCATAGTTAAACAAGGTTATATCGAGAGTTTAAAGTTTGTCAGACGCAATTTCTAACAAATCGATACCTTTCAGCAAGCACAGCAGAACCTTCTTCAAATAATTCTTCTACGACTCCAACAGCAGAGAGCTTATTTCCAGTTTTGACGTTGAAATTCTTGGATTTCTTCCCAAAGAGGAATGAGCTGAATGCGTTCTGCTTTTTTCTCGGTGTTGGTGGCAAGACAAGATAATCAGATGGAATGATATCAACAACCAGACAGGTCGTATCATCCTTCAACCCTCTTGTTCGTAATGCTTCCTGAATAAATACGTACAAGCATTGGTAACAACCATATGTGAGAGAGAATTCTAGGACAGAGGACCTTTGACACAAATAAAAATTTTCAGGCTTTGTAAACAACCTCCACAACAAGCTTAGCGGCCAGCTCGGCGGGTAAACCACGACAAGATTCAGCTGCCATATCTGAAGATAGTGCATCCCAGATACCAAGTTCCCCCTGCCATATCTGAAGATAGTGCATCCCAGATACCATCTGAAGCAATAACGAGTCTCCCTCTAGCATGGGAAAGCTGAAATAGATATAAACGCAACCTCGTCCAGTGTCTTATGACTTATACAGGTATTGATGAAAATCGCCATGAGACAAGAAGTTCAGGAACTCACCTTCACTTGCTTAACATGCGGTATTGGGACAATGAATTCACCCACATCAGTATCGCCAATGGATCTTGAAAGACACAAACCACCAGGCCAGCAACGAAGAGGGCCAACCTGTGAGTTTCCGCGAGGCAAAGCACATTAAATTGAGATCATCCCAAATCCAAAAACCTATATGTCTGAACGCAGACACACCATAAAGAGAAACAGAATGAAACATAGTTTTAATCTTATTGGGCATGATCATACCTCATTGCCACCAAAAACATTGAGCCTCCCAACCTCACCCCCACTGGCAGTAACGCGTTCTCTCTCTTCGACATTCTCTTCTAACCTGTGATCAACAGTCAGCAGAGAAACCACACCACCTTGAGTGTCCAATATGCAGCGCGAGTCTCCAACCGAGGCAACAGTTATAGTCCAACCGTCAATCAGAACAAATGTCACTGTTGTGCCAGAAGTTTCCCCTGTCAACACATTGAACCATAACGATGAGAACATGCCTGACCAAGGAGACAAAGAGGAAATAGGCCTTGCAATAAAGAGCATAAGCATATTACCTTTCTGCTGAAACTCTATGTCGGTTTTCACAAAGCCGGCAACCAGAGCCCGGGGAAGAGCTTGAAGCCACTCATCCCTACTCACGCCTTGAGGAATCGCACTCAAGACGTTATCCAGAAGACATTCCTTAGCAAATATAGCAGCTGAAATACCATTGTGTCCATCAAAAATCTGCCGGAAAAACCTGTAGTAAGAATTTCTGTGGATGCAATAATTGATGGAACAGTTGAAGAAGCCATTCCTGGCTATAGTGAAGAACTCAGACAATGAATATGGGATCCTGACAAAACTAATTACCGCGAAAACTGAAAAGGACGTTGAAGGATCACCAGGAATCCTCTGGCAATCGGGTTTGATAAGAAAGTAGTCCTCTCCTTTCCTAGCGAGAGCAGCCTGACCATACTTGATGAAAGGTTTCTCGACTTTCCCGCCCCTCAACTCCCTACCAATGAGGGTTGCAAGAGGAACGAGCGGAGGTTTTGGCCGTGATGCTTTAGACAGGCTCATCTTATTAGCCTAGGCTTCAACATTTGCTGAACCCCAATTGTAAATGATATCCTAAAATTCCAATGAGTATATGTTACACCTTTCTCTCTACACGATGACAAGCTCTTGTTTACATTTTAAAAAATTATCTTCAGGAGAGCGGATAAAAGTCACATAAATGCTATTCACTAAATGAGTCAAAAGCAACACAAATCACTATTCGGTACGATCTTTCAGGAGATGCGAAGATCTAGATGAGTATCAAGAAGTCAAATTCTGATAAACCAAAAAACAAGCATTGGCGAATAGACATTGGGCCCATGGAAAGAAAAAGATGATGAATTTGGTCAATGGCAAACCATGGTTCTTGGTTCTATCAACTCACACCCACTGGCAAACCATGGACTTCACTTTCTAACAAATTCCTAGAAGACGCATCAGCTCAACAAAGTCTACAACTAAGTACGTTCATTTTCATCGTAAATCAAACCAAACAGAAAGAAAATCTCAAGCAAATGCAGAAGAAAGCCCTAATCTTCGGACCAAACTGTGTTTCATTTCAGATGCAAAAAAGATCACTAGAATCGAGTCAGACAACAGTATTATCGAAAAAAACCCATCAAAATCCCGGGTAAGCACCAGTAAGAACCCTAGAAACTCACCGGAAAGAAACCAAAGTAACATCTAACACTAGATCGAGATAAAAAGATGGTGCATTGACGATTCAGTAGGCCTCGCCGGAGCTACGGGAAGCATTTTCGGGCATGTCACCGGGGATCGAAGTGAGAAAGATCATCAAGAAAGCGCGTGAGAAGATTACAATCTCTACGGAGAGAAAGTGAATGCAGAGATTGCGATTTCGATTGGAAGAGAAATCTAGAGAGAAAAAGAGACGCGGGGTACGAGAGAGAAAGAAAATGGGTTCATTATAAATTTGTAGTTTTAATAAAATTAACTAAAATGCCCCTGGCGTTCAAATTGTTTACGTATGTTGCAATTCATAAAAAGAATTGCAAAAATGATAGATTTATTTACTTAAGTACATATATGAATTAAAAGGGACAACTATTGAAAATATTATGCTATATATAAATTCTAAAATTTTTACTTTGCTTCTTTCTCAAATTGCGGGTACCGCTTATGATATAACTATTAAAAATCTTAATTAATTCATAAAATATACGTGACAATTTGATTATTGGAAGAATTTCATATCTATTTTTCTTAATAAAACTTAGATGTCCATACATTGTGATGTTATATATATATATACACATGATTTTTATTTTTAATAAATATTGTGTTTAATTCGGAATATATTACTATGCAATCAACTCTAATTATACATTTAATTGCTAAGTATCTATCTCTAAAAGGAAAACCGTGCAAGTTTTAAATGTTTTGTTGCATCAAAATATGATTTTTTATATTATATATATAGTATATGTTTTTCTTTTTAAAAAAATAGAAACTGTGAAAGGATACCACCATATCAAATTCGAAGATACGGGAATTGTTTTTCTTTTTAAATATTGTGTTTTCAATTTTGATTTCTTTGAGAAAATGGAAATTGTTTGAACCAAAGGAAAAAAAAAATAAAAATTTAAGAGTATGTGCTGACGTGGCCACGTGATTGTGGGTCCCCGCTTAAAGTTCACCACCATACGTTTCCCCCACACGAAATGGACTGTTTGTCAAGCGTTTGCGTTTGCGTTTGCGTTTACGTTTCGAGCCTGCGTTTGCGTGACCATGGGTGATAACGAACTTCAGTGTTCTGCTTAACCAAAAAATGAAAAAACAAATCAGTTAAAACATAAGCTAGTTTTTTGCGTACTTCAAAGAATGAAAATATCTGTATTTTAGACCTTGTATATAATAAATAGAAGATAAAATGTTTTTTGCAACAAAAAAAAAACGCAGAAAATGTTAGATTGAAAATCTTGATATATTCGCCAAGAAATAAGTAAAGTCTTTTTTCTACTAAATATCTATGTTTATGTACATATAAAGATATGTTTTATTATACTAGATATTTTCAGTAATTGATTATAAAATTAGGATATCCAAATTAAAATTCAATCATAAATATTCTGATTTATAAACTCGTATTAAAATTTAAATTACTCTAACAAAAATAGGGTAATTTTGATTTTGGACGGAGAATTCAAACGATAAGATAATGGTATTAATTCAAATTATTCAACATCATTATCTTATCGTTTGAATTCTCCATCGAAACTCAAAATTACCCCATTTTATTGGAGTAATTTAAATTTGAATACGAATTTATAAATCAAAATATTTATGATTGAATTTTAATTTGGATATCCTAATTTTATAATCAATTACTGAAAATATCTAAAAGGATTCTGGAAAAAAGTTTGCTCATAAGCTGACGTAATCTTGTGTATGTGGGACCTACTCATGTCCAAAAGTGGGGTCCATAGAACAGCTGGAGTGAACGAGTGAGTAGATTAGATTCTCCGAGAGGATGTCGTGTGGGTCAAACAATAACCACAACTTCTTAAAGTCAACCAAATTAGTTGGTCTAGACCTCCTTAAATCACGAAATGTTTCATTCGAAATTTATATTCTATTTTATTAATATATAAATCCATTTAATCTATAGTTTATTTTGATTTGTTATTGATTGAATAGAAGTTTAATTAAAATAAACCAAATTAGTATTTAGTGACATTTGGTAATGTCCAACCAATTTTGAATTTAGATATTTGATCAATAATCTCCCCCAAGCTAATATTTTCCATTCAAACAAAACAATCAAAATTTTCCTTTTTTAAGTACTTCTGGCAAATAATAATTTTCTTTTGGTGTTACAGCTTTAAAAGATATAAAGTTGTAGTGTTTATATACACATTTGAACGGCCATAAAAATAAATATAAAAAAACTTTTATCTGATTTTTAAAACATCAATATTATTATAATAATGAAAGTTTAAAATTTTAGAATTTTAGAGACGTGAAATTATCTCAATGATTTGTTACAAAATGAAAAATCTTTCAGAGATCATTAAAATTATATATAAATGAGATTGGCAAAATTGGACACCAATTAGATATTAATGAAAGTCATTATAGTTTAATAATCTGATTTATTTGGGAAAAAAATCTCTATAGTCGCTATTTCACTTTGTTTATTTTTAGCATTGTAGCCATAATTTTTTGCGATCATAAGGTCACACTATCATTCATGTGAAACATTTTCATACAAATCATAAATCTTACATACATTATATTAATGTTGAAAGTTTATCTATTATTGAGATATAGATTGATTTCTTTATAATTTTTAAAATTTTGAATAATCTCTTAAAAATTGTATTTAAATAATCGCCGTCAAAACAATTATTTTCATTCACTGACTATAAGGTGATTAATAGATATTTTCATAAAGAAATGTTAAAGTACAGATTAAAGAAATATTATAGTCTTTTGGACATTGTGGCTACCTAAACAAAGACAAAAGACAATCAAATAAATGGTTATGGCAATAACTTTAGCGGTTAATGTGAATGAATTTGCTTAATATTGCAATATATTTTTGTATAAAAAGTTAATTTTGTTTTGACATTTGAATTGACATTATGATATGAACAACATCGTCATCACAAGGCCTCCTTGACCGATCAAAAGCGGTGTAGAGATGTCAAATTGGATAAAGATGTTCCCTTTTTGGGTAATGGTGAGTTGGCATCACTCGTTTTTTTTTTTTTTTTTTGAAGTGGACTTATTTATCATCATTATTCTCCCTCGTTTCCTTTGTAAATATTCTTTTTTAGACATATAATATTCGAATTTGCTTTACATAAAAATGAAAAATAATTATCAAAACCAGAGATAACAATAAAATCAAATTAAATTAATATAATTCAAGTTAATTCGAACAGGATATAAAAAAATAATAAAAATATTTAAATAAAACATTTTTTTAGAAAATAACTATTTTTTTTAATGAATACCGCACCAAATAGTTGTAGTTTTTTCGGAAGCGAAAAATTCTAATGTGAAATGAAAACTCGGAAAGTGGTGTACATTCAGTCTTTAAACATTGAACACGAGAAATTGATGGGACCACAAAATGTTGGTACTATGAGTGACAATTAATAATATTTGTTCTCGTAGTCTTTGAAATGGAATAATACATATTCACATTCCATATATTAAAGTCACATTTCCAACCCAAATTATGGCTGTTATGAGATACATATTCATTCTAATCTCTGCCACTTGAGATATATATCAACCTCGAACCGAGCCGGGTTCCTCACCTCGTGTGCCACGCCACATATATTGACCATGAATCCATGATGAGTGGACCCAAAACCAAATTAATCAAACAAAAGACAAACAAAAAAATTATAGTTTCATACCCACATTTGCATGTATGTTATATGCTGTTTATGTTCACTTGGGTTGATGTCCTTGTCTCTTCTTCATAACTGTGTTTTGTCTTGATGATGTTTGCGGTTGTGCCGGTGAAGTCATAGTCCCGAGAGATAGTCTCCGCGTAGGCGCGGGAATTAGAGATGGTATCATGCTCCTGAATATCATCAATATCCGAAACCCGAAAAGAAAAACATGTAATTTAGAAGAGAACAAAGAATCAGGAACAAGAACAGGATCGAAAGCATTTAGATGATAGAGTTCAAGACAAGTAGACTGACCGTGTCTCGGCAGCTCTACCGATTCTTGTCTGAGGTTTCTCCATTGGTTTGGAAGAAGAAGCCAATAATGAGGGATTAGAACCATTCGGAACTCGTGGCACATTCACTTGAACATTCAGTTGCCACATCAAGCTACTCTCCGAGCAATCACTCGTCTCAGACTCATCCGTAGCCACTGAATCTTCGTAGCGGATTTTCCTCACTTCGTATCCTTGATCTTCCTTACGGCCATTGTGATTGTACGTCTTCCTGTTTTCTGGTTTGCGGATGATTCCGTTTTCATGTTTGTCAATCCATTCACCCAAGATATATTCTCTATCGTCATCCTTGCCATCCAACGATAGGCTCACCCACGACGGCGAACTCGTTAATTCTTGAGTTTCAAGGCTCTGTCTTCTTGAAGATGTAGAGTCGCTTTGTCCCTGCAGGGTGGTAAACCAGCAAGATTTCTATGTTCAATATGATTGAATAGTCACTGAAAAAGAATCAGGTGATTTCAGGAATCTGACACAAAAATTTCACAATTTCCTCTACGCTAGGATTAAGGTGATCAAAGTTACCTATATAAATAAGTTTGCATAATTGGGTTGGTCTGAACAGACATCATATCATATCAATGAGTACAACCAACGAGACATTTGGTACATAATTAGCAAAGTTCAAACCAATCATTAAAAATAAACTTGAGAACACCTCGTAGCTTAAACATTGTGTTGCCCTATAGAAAGCTCCTAGAATTGGGAAACTGACACGATTTCTTTTGAAAACTTGAAATGGTTACAGACTGAAGCTAAGAACATTCAACTCGATCTCAGTTTGAGGAATATATGTTATACACAAATGTTACCTAAGGCCAACTGAGCCAACATAAAATATCCATAAGAGACTCTAATTAAACTTGGTCGGTAACCAACATAAATTCAGACTTCATTGGAGCAAGATACTTCATAAGTCGTGAATCAACTTAAATCGTCAGTTTCATAATCATAGCTATCAGTTTCGTATATATGCATACCTCAATGCTGTTGAGATCATCAATCTGAACCTTACGTTTGCTTGAGAACTCCCTAATGGTTGGGGATTTTGGTAATGGAGAAATAAACCCAAGGGACTTTCTTCTTATGAGTTTGTCAGTGGAAATGGGTCTAGGAAGTTGAGTATGACCCGCTTCACTTTCCTTCCTTGCTAGCGCAGCTTTGAGACTTGAGATCTGAAATCAAAGACAATGATAGAGAAACTTTGCAGAAGTATTCCGACATAACTGACAGTTCTGCACTGGTATTTCAATTTCTTGACTCGAATTGGAGTTCTAATAGAGCAAACAATATATCGAAAGAATCTAAACTTGTGCATTCATATAGATCGTAAAATGATGTAGCAGAAGATTATAAGAAAGGTCTCAAATTTCATACTTATATTCAAATTTGAGCAGTCAACATAAACATGGAGAAAGCCGAACCTGTTCTTTGAGCTCTTTAATCTCAGAAATGTCTTTGTTGACTCGAGCAGCACCGAGCTCAACTGTGGCAACCCTCTCTGCGAATTTGAGAGTACTAATTGTTTCTGCAAGAGCTTCAAGTTCGGGGCTGATGTGAACAAACATTAGTGTCTTGGCTTGTCCTCCTGAAAAAAACACATCATTATTCCACTGAAGAAAGTGACTAGAACATAAAAGGGCTAAACTACAATTCTTTGATGTTTCTCACAGAGCTGAGTAAAGAATGGAGGTCTTTACCTAGAGAGTCCTGCAGTAATTGGGTGAGCTTGCTATTCCGATAAGGGACATGGTTGTTCTTCTGAGCTAGCGATGCAATCACGTCTCCAAGAGCAGAGAGAGACTTGTTGATGTGTTGTGCCTCTTTTAATCTATCGCCAGTGACTTCAGACTTGTCGACCCTTTCACTTCCGGCAAGATCAACCAAATGCATAGAACCACGGAGAATTGTTCCGGACGTGAGATCTTTTCCTTGGACGTGTACCGTGAGACAGCTGCAGGTAGAAAATTAGAAATCATGCAGAAATTAATGAGCTCTTGGGGATCGAGTTTAAGACCAATGTGTTAACTTGAGATTTTCTCAGCTTATTCTTATCCAAATCGATAACGTTTATTTCGAATGATATTAGTTGAAGAATAAGTATTCCAACCTCTAATAACAGACGTATGAATACAAATGAAAAGGGGAACACAAACACATATACACTCGCAGAGGAAGAGAGAAAACGAACCTGTGAGATCGACTGCTGCGGTCATTCATGGCCGTGGAGCTTACTGCACGGTTCTTTAGCCCGAGATTCATTAGATAAATGACATCAGAAGTTGAGGACACAGGCACAATCGTTGCATCTGGCACATTGATTCCATCTGGAGAACTGTTTCGGATCTCTAACGTGTTTACAAGTTAAGGACACATGTACCATTGCAAGATCCATCTAGCAGTTCCCACACCTCATCCCAAGTCTACGAAATAGTTTCACCATTTCTAGGAGCCAATTTCCATTCCAGGACAGAAATTTAGATTATAACCTGATATAACCACGAGATCTTTCAAGTTTTGGCTGTATGATTAGCTGCCTCGCGAGTGTAGGCAGCATACCACTGGATTCCAACACCTGTTTCACTAATCTCAGTTGAGTCCTAGATGTGCGCAAAAATAAAAACACAAGGTTGTTAGATAAGGATATCGCTTGTTTTGACCATCTGTGGTGAGGAGATCTCGGACTTGCTCGTTGTAGATTTCGAGCATCTGAACTGAAATGTTATAGGAAAACGTGTCTTTTCTTTGATTAGACAGAAGAAAGAGGTCAGTCAGTGCTCTGTAGTTTACGCCTAAGCTCTCTTCCGTGAGCACCTTAGGTCCAGTCTAAGAAAAGGAATAGTGTTTAGATCAGTTTACATGTAAAACAATGCTGAATACTGCTGCGGCAATTAGAGAGAGGAAATAACTTTAAAAATTCAACTCCGCAAAACAAGAAAGGGAACAAATATGTTATGGGTTTAACCAAAAAACACTTCAATGTGAAGATAAATTAATCATGGTGTAAAAGACAATTCACAGTCACAAAATAAAAATTTAAGGGAAGTTCAGAACGCAGAACCCCCCCTTAGAGAAAAGCATCATGAACTTGGTGCTTAGAACCCAAATACGCCAAGGATATACATAGATTAAAGAAATCATATTTTATACTAAAATATATGTGAGACAATAAGAAATATGTGTGAGTTGGTTGAAACATGATGAGAAGTATCTAATAGAAAGAGAAAAGTACCATTGTGTAAGTTTTTCCAGATCCTGTTTGACCGTACGCAAATATGCAGACATTATAACCATCAAGAACGGACCGGATCAGAGGTTGAGTGTCTGCAAATACATCCCCTACAAATTGAATTCCGTAAGAAATATTAGTTATTTCTGAATTGAGATATGTAATTAAGTTTTGCAGTCAAGATTCAAGATTGTAAAACATAAAATGAATCATGATTGTTTGCATGAACCAATATGCATTTCCACATATATACTGTTTGCTCTCACAGGTTTCAACATCATTTTGAATTTCTATTGTTATGGGTCCAAGATTCATTGACGTACCAAGACATTGCATAACTTAAAGAAGCAAAAGTCAAGAAGACAATAGAAGCGAACAAACCCTGAGTTGCTGAAGGACTGAAAACTTTGTTAAATGTGAATGATTTCCGTCCATTTTTCCCATACGTTGCAGGGGTTGCAATTGAAATAGTCGAATCCTCTATGTGATCCACTGTGGTCAACACACTTGTTTGCTCAGGCAACAATGGTCTCACCCGGCAGTACACCCTTATATTTCCTGATTGTGTTTAAAAGGATAGCAAATCTTAATCATAGGATTGACTTTCACAAGCACATGGTTCATAATCTTGCTCGTAAGTTCTTCAGGGTTTGTATCCAATGAGTCAGAGGATTCACTACTACTTTACAATTAGGGATTCATCTATACAAATGGGTGGGTATGTGTGTGTTCAATATTCATGCGTATCTTTGAGGATTCAGCATTATTTTCTCATTTTACAAGTTTATTTATAAACGTGTCTACATTTCTAGATCCGATAAAGACCCCCCTTTTTCTTTCTACAGTTACCTTTGAGGTCTTGCACTTGATTGTAGAGTTTGCGGTTTTCTTCAAGAACTTTTTGGTATCCTGTAGCTGCATGAGCTAGACCATGCAAATGCTTGCCTATCCCAGGAAGAGAAAAACAGTGAATGAACTATCAATATTCAGAATAGTGAAATTAGTAAGTACTCCAGTGCTAGCAGCTGGAGCTGCCGTTTGGCCAGTTGTTGCAGCTGACGAAAATGCATAATGTAATGTTGTACTTTATATTCCTCACCTAAGTTGTTAAACTCCTCAAAGTACTTGATCTGCAAGAACTTAACACCCGCTTTTGTAGACTTTAGAGCATGTTTAAGTTCCTGGATGAACACAAAAAGCCCAGGACTCCAAATTATATATCAAAAAACGAAAGTCTAGAGAGAACCAAGAACATTACCCTGTGGTGCACATATTCAATCAACCTACCTCAATGTATATCTGCTGTCTCTCGACTATCATCTGTTGCTTCACGATATGATCCCTTGAAATTCCATTGCCATGCCAGTTTTGCACATTGTTATCTGATGAAGCTTCTGTGTTGTTGTTTGCAATGTTTGTCACGTCTTCTTCTCCATCCTGGAAAAAGAACATATATCACCGTTGTTGGGAATGGAGAAATTGTTTTTGTTTATGGCACCTCTAGCATTGAGTCGAGTTGATTTTTTTATCAAGTACTCCCTTAAAAGTCGTATGCAAACAATATGGTTTATTCCTTTTTTGAGTCCAGCAGAGCAATAAGCATTAGTTTATATGTGCATCAGGGCTTAACTTCTCTAAGAATATGGAAGCGTTGGGTCTAACTCTAACACATCTGCCTGATTAGAACCAAATTTTAAGAGAGATCAGAAGTTGATGGATGCAAGGTTTCTACCAAATCCACATACATAATCCTGTCGCCTCTAATCTACAAATAAATCCTAGTGATTAATTTAAAGATCCTTGGATTAGAGAGTTATGAAGGATTAATATTTCTGCTCATCATCTTGAGTGAGTGGAGTTCTTGAAACACCGACAATACAATCAATTCAAAAGATTTGTGCTCTACGTACCAAGCTGTCACATAGTCCCTCCTCGTAGCCTGAAAGAGGCCTCCCAAGATCGCCAGAGTCAAGAGTTATTTTGTTCTCCGAACTCATTTGATGCTACAGAATTGTAGATTCAAAATGAAAAACAAATCAGATAAGGATCTTGCCCATCTCCTCCACATCACTAAGAGACATGAGATTTTATCTGACTACATATACAGCTATAATCTTGCGGTTAATGCTGCTTTAGACAACAACTGCTTACCAATTCGCTTTGTGTTGCCAGTCTACATTCAAACTCTACCATGACTTTGTTAAGCATAGATTCTACAATCTGGAAGCAAAGGAAAACGGGAAGGTGTGTAGTTATGAATCTTAAGAACAACAAGAAGAAGCATCCTTCACACTGAGTTAAAAATAAAAATAAAGTAAAAACAAACCAGAACTTAATGTCGACAAGGACTTATAAGTATAAATAGACAGATCAGCAGGAGAATGCTTACAGCTAGGACTTCTTCTTGCTTCTTATCTGATAAAACCATGCGCACAATCGCATCTATGGAATGGGAAGTTTCCTGCAATTTGGACAAAAAAACATAGGATTTAACGACGAAAAATAATAGTACTGTAAAATACAGGGTTTTTTATATATATAGGCAACGACATTGCTCACTAACTCTTTGTTTGGAATCACAATCAGATTGACAGCATGCAGACTGCTCACTGGACATTATATCAGAAGGGTCGCTTGTGGATGGATTCATGAGCGATTCTGAGGGTTTCCGTTTAATTTGTTTTGCCATTCCAAATGTGGTTGGTTTCAAGTTCACAATGTATCTCCATGACCCACTTCCACCACTATGCTTCCACTCGCAATATGACTTTAGAGCCAACACACACTCCACAATTCTTGTGGATTTACCTCCCTGAGAACAACACACCGTGAGCATGTAGACAGAAAGTTCATCTTGCATTATGCATATATAAACCAAATTTTGGAACTTGCCCGAAAACATGGGTTTTGGGGTGGATGATGGATCGTCAACCCCTTATTAAATCAGTTGGATTATAGAACATGCATAATTTTCAGCTTGCCCTTTATATGGAAATTTAAGGTTTGCTCCTTTGTTTGTCTTTACATTTTTTTACTACGTTACCTTCTCAAAATCAGAGACTTCAAACGTGGGAAGCCCAATTTCCTCCACTGCAACAAGAAAGTTTCGTAGATTCTCAAAGTACTGAAATGCAGATAGAGCTGCACCATCTTGATTGACAAGAGAATCATTTGGAGCTTCAACTACCTGAAGTTTAACAACACAGAGTCAATATCAGGAGTGGGCTATCTTACAACTGCTAGTGATTGTCTAAACGAGATGAGAAGGACATTGCGTTTAAACTTGATCATAAATAAATCTATATAAAATGGTTATATTTTGTTTTATATTTAAAATTGTCCAATGAATTTAAAGCAGTTAATGAAGTTACGTAATATGAGGTGCTGAGAAATAATAAGAATTATGTTAATCATTGATTATGAAATTTATCTAAATAGTTTTGAATTTCAAAATTCTTCTCAAACTTGTAACTTGCAGCTTAAAACATAAATTTGAACTTATAACTTTTTCATAGCTAATAATTATGTTTATCGTCTGCAATTTTAGAAGATTAAATGAGCTTTGATCGAAGGAGTTCCATAACCAGCCTAGTGGCTGAAGAAACTCTGTCACTCTTACAGTTTCCAATTCAAGTCATGGCAACGTATTTAAACTCTAGGCTAGCTAGATTCTGGATTCCAAAGTTTTAAACTCTAGCTTATTGACACCATCAACTGTTACTGCAAATACCTTTGGCACAGCACCGGGTTGAACTTTGTTAAGGACATTGCAGAGTAAGATCCCACTTCTTAATCCAATCCTGAACTCTTCCTCCGAAGGCTCTGCAGGCAAGTCTTTGCCTCCAACAACACCAATGGTGCGTCTTAACCACATGGCTGCTTCATACCTTCGCAAGGCTGAAAATAACAAAGAGCGCAGACTTATTTTTTTCATCTTGATCGATGAATGTACATGAAACGTATAACCAAAGATGTGACATATTTAAGTTTGTAACTGAAACGTATAATCTGATCATCCCGAGTAAGAAAACTAATAAAACAGCATATTCCAGTTTTTTTGTTCATCAAGTAACTACAATAATTCGGGTATTCATTCAAAAATTTATGTTCTCATCCCATATATCCATATAAGAACCAAACATAAACCTAAATTCCAGAAATCCTTGTTCCAAAATGACAGAAATGCAATTCGAGAAGCCGAAGATTACACAGAATACAGAACTAGTATCAGAACAACAAAGTCTAGAAATTCATTGATCAAGTAGGAGACACATACTAGATTTCAGAATCAGACATTAAATTGATAATTCCACAGTTTATGCGACTAGTCCAGATTTTCGACTATAAATACATCAGAAACCCTAATTCCAGCAGAAACCATGTTTGCGAAACATAAAAATCTAATAACCAAATTGTCATTATGATCAAAAACAGGAGAAATGGAGGATCGTACAAGCTTCGTCGACTTTTCTGGAACTCGAATCGACACCAATGCTGGGTCGAACATTGCTCTGCTTAAGAAAATCCTCAAGAACCGATGCCAAACAGAACCGAGAAGCTTGCTGTTCCGTCGCCATTGAAGCGGTGACAGAAAAAACAAAACAATCCTTATAGCTTGATGAACAAGATAACCTGAAAATTTACAAGAAAATTTTCAAAAATCCTAACACCTACAAACTCCGATTCGAATCTCTCACGCGAATTTCTCGCCCGGAAACTCAAAATTCTCCGGCGGAAACAAATTCGATCGAAGGAAATCGAATTCTACGTATATATATACATCTATACAAACATATATATATATATATATATCGAGGATTGTTCAAAATCAAACGAAAAAAAAGCGAGAGAGAAAAATCGAGGAAAATTTTCTCTCGCTCTCCCTCTCTCTGTAGAAATGGAACACAAGAGGAAGATGATGAAGAAGAAAAAGAAGAAGAGGTACCAACGGGGCTCCGACCCTCGCGGCTTTTGTAGCTTGACGGTTTGAATAAAATATTATTTTTTAAATTTTATTTATATAGTGTTGAGAAAAAAAAATATGTTTATTTTGTTGGTCATTTATAAATTACAACTGTTAACAAAATAAATGCATTTTAGATATTCTAAAATGTCAGAGTCCATTTATCTAAAACAATTACCCGAATATTGCGAACATTGTTGCATCCGTTAATATTTTTTTTAGCATTTTTAAAGTTGTTATATGGGTATTTTAAAGATTATTTTATTCTCTTGAAAATTTGTTTTCAATTATTTTTTTGAACTTTTCTCACTTTTTTTTCTTCTTTTCTTATTTTAAACATTAAGAATTATTGAGATTTTTTAAAAATAAATATAGTTATTGTTGAATTGCTTGATATATTGTTTCATATATCCACGACTTATACTTACAAGTTTCAAATTCAAACAACCAAATTTGTATTTATATTTTACAAGCCTTTATATGAAAGAAAATGATGGCTTAGTATTCTTTTATGTATTTATCTTAGTTTTAAAATATTTTGACTAATTTTCTGTATATTTTATTTCTTAGGCAATGACCTTGTATTTTTTTATTACCAAAAAGCTGCACAATCATGTCATGGGTCATATATTAAACCAAGAATTCTATCTAAGATACATTATAAAAAAATTATAATTAATATTTCCTTCGAAATCTTTTTATCATCATATCATACATAATAAAATTGTAGCAAAATATATGCTTTACTTCCAAAGAAATGTCAATACCAAATTATGGTCATATTTATTATTTCTAAATATTTCTTGAAAAATATTTGTATGATCTTCTAAAATAATGCGTAATTTATAATTTATTTCCTATATAAATCAATATTGTATTGATTGTTCTCCAAATATTTTTATTATTAAAGATTTTATTTTCAATGAAATTTTGGGAAAATATATTTTCAATGAAATTTTGTTTAAAAAAAATAGGAAAGTGAAAAAAAAAAGTATTAGAAAAAGAGGAGAGGTTTACTTTGAGATAATAAATTATTGAATGCAAAAAAAAAACAAATAAAAGAAGTGATAACAAATTCTTACAAGTTTAATTAAACTTACGGTCTCAAAAACAAATTCCGCTTTAATTATTCTTGTTAATGATGAAGAATGCATATTATAATTAAGAGCTTAACTATTAAAATCATTGTTTTTAATTTTTTTTAATAAAAAATCATTTGGTTGGGCGATTAACAAGACTACTTAATTACACTCTATAAACAATTTTTGCTTAAGTATAAAGGAAATGGGCATGACATCATGATTGGATTATTTTAGAATTGGTGTTGGAAAAAGATCAAAATAAATAAATATCTTTTAAAAAGGATAAAATAAGGTTGATGATTGTACCCACTTTGCTTGAAAATGAACCTTTTTTTTTTCCTCAATTATATTATTCAATCATACTAATTAAAAATTATTGATTTCTTATATATTCTCCTTTTTATTTGTCATTGTATATGTGACAACCACTCACTCAAAACACATTCATACACATAAACATGTGTATGTGAATGTAGACGTTCCTAATGAATAGCAATACGTGCTGTCGTTATTTTTTCCAATTACACACACACACACACACACACACATATATATATATATATATATATATATTTATATAAGATGATTAGCTTAATTCATTAACATTCTTTTTATTAATATTACGATTGTAGGCTTCAAAAAGTATTAATAAGTTTCATCAATACATATAATTCTCATTTTACGCGTATATATATATATACACGTAATGTTGTTAATTATCTCTTCTTGAGCATGTCCGATAACGGAGCTGCAATAGATGAGTATCCCAAGATAAAACGACGGTAATAATTAACTAAGCCAAAAAATGACCGAAGTTGTGGGACGGTCTTGGGAAATCTCTCGAACATGTTCGGATTTTTCTCGGTCATCCGACGAGTTTCTCCGACCATTCGGGGTTTCTCGGACTGTAGAGGCGGAGTAGAGGGTCATGGTCGGAGAAAATTCTCGGATGAACGGAAGTTTTCGGACATGTTATATAAGTTAGTTTAACTTCGTAAAAATATTATATTAATATAATAATCGGTCTCACAAGATTTTTCTAAAGTATCCAAGATTGGGTGGCTCAATCAGTAAAGAAAGAAGCAAAACTCTTTCTCAATCTGGATTCGAGTCCTCACTTGGAAAAGAGCATTCACACGGATTTATCTGATCTTCTTACAGTAGTCGAGTCTAGTCGAGTCAATGATCCGATTTACTTCCAAATTATAAAAAAAAAATTTCTAAAGTATTTTTCCATGTTACCAGGTCCAATAAATCCATATATATGTTTTGCTAATATAATTAGTAGATATAATGCTTCCTCTGAATATAAAAATCCAAACCAATTTGATTTAAAAATTAATTTTAACAGAATTAATTAAAAAACAAATTAGTTCGAAAATAATAATTTTCATCAGTCATTTCTTTTCCAAACGGAATGAAATTTATACCACAACATAAATATGAGATGTAGAGGCTTCCCAAGAAGTTTCGCTGAAAAACTCATTCGTATGTAATTATTATGAATTATCGACGATATTCGGTAAAAAATTTGGGAAAAATAGTTCCGGTACTCAGAAAATTATGAAACTTTGCCACAAATAAGGTCATATCATCATAGTGTTGTGTACAAAAAATCAGATCAAATTTCCCAGCCGATTTTTCTCTAGAGGCGTACTTCTGCTCAAACATTTCAATGTTTCCTGGTGCCAGAAGCTTTTTTGCAAATAAACCTATATAGTGTCACGCACCTAGTCGCTGGGTTCGACCGATGGTACGTGACGCTCCGTACAGCGTGTAAAGGTGCGGAATATGGCGGACTGTACGGGTCAGGAACCTCGGACTGTTGGGAAAAGCTGCAAATAAACCTATATAGTGTCACGCACCTAGTCGCTGGGTTCGACCGATGGTACGTGACGCTCCGTACAGCGTGTAAAGGTGCGGAATATGGCGGACTGTACGGGTCAGGAACCTCGGACTGTTGGGAAAAGCCCGGGATTCGTCGGGAAAGCTCGGACTTGTTGGGAGAAGTCCGAGATTCGCTGGGAGGACCGAGACTAGGATCCGGACTAGTCTGGACCGTTGCGGGAAGTGTCGGGCCTTGGCTTGTAATGGGCCGAGTTCCTTGGACGGAACGAGAAAACTTGGCCGAGAATTCGGACAAGGATGCGAGTCGGACGCGTCGGGTCTGGAGAGAGTTCTCGGCTGGGCGGGATATGTATGTATGTATGTATGTATGTATGTATGTATGTATGTATGTATGTATGTATGTATGTATGTATGTATGTATGTATGTATGTATGTATGTATGTATGTATGTATGTATGTATGTATGTATGTATGTATGTATGTATGTATGTATGTATGTATGTATGTATGTATGTATGTATGTATGTATGTATGTATGTATGTATGTATGTATGTATGTATGTATGTATGTATGTATGTATGTATGTATGTATGTATGTATGTATGTATGTATGTATGTATGTATGTATGTATGTATGTATGTATGTATGTATGTATGTATGTATGTATGTATGTATGTATGTATGTATCTTTATTATAAAGAAAAATGATTTAATTTCAAATTTAATTACTTATATTTAATGTTATAAAGGGTGGTGCCATGTGTTCTCTTCTTGAATTGATTAGGTGGCCATGTTTGTTGTATATAATGTACACCCCCACCACTTCCTCCTTTCATATAACGCCAGTTTTAAGCATTTTTTATTAAATTTATTTTATTATTGTTTAAATTTTTTTATAAAATAGAAAAGATTTGGAGATATTTTGAAGAATTCTGTCAGCCATTTTGGATTTAGATGATGATCTAATTAGGATCATAATTAGATTATATATATATATATATATTCTAATAATTACGCTGCAAAAGAAAAAAAAGTGTAAAATAAATTAATATTGAGTATTTTACAAGTTCGAGAGAGAAAAAAGGTGTTTCTAAAAAAACACAATTTAAAAAGACAACTTTTGTCTTCTAATATAAACTACACTCGTAGTCCTACAACATATAACTCGTTATGTGTATTTAAACATGAACATATATTTATGTATACGAATATATAAAGGTTTGAGTCATGGAGTGCATTGAACCGCAGGCGGAGAATGATTTTAAACTCAAAGATTCCCTCCACTTTTTCTTCCTCTACCGTCTTCTTATTTATTAAATAAGTAAATTTTTTTTATTGGGAACCCCGTGACTACCTACCCTTGCAAACGGAGATGAACTGGCCATCACCCGCACCTAACAGTCCCCCACCGGACCTGGCCACCAGGCGCGCCTAACGTTCGGGCCGTATTTGGACTTAGGCGCCTGCGGGTCAAACCCCAAGCCCACGCGCACGAGCCTGCAACACACGCATATGAGATAAATCAACCCATTATGATAGGCTGACAGATGAGCATGTCAGAGGAAAGGAGGCGGTAGGATTCGAAGACCCGACCTCATGGAGTTACCCCATGCTCTCAACCGACTGACCTGGCCCCGAAGGGCAAGACGTAGCTTTATTTCCATCTTAAAAAAAATCCTTAGTTTTCCCATTTCTTCATACATGAGGGGAAAAGATACTTAGCGCAAAAATTATGCATGATTGTTTACTTGCTGGTCCTTTTCAGACTTGATAATTGAATTTCGAGAACAATTCGATGCAAAATACTATAACAATTATGCCATGATATATGTCTTGAATTAGTTAGGCAAAAAATACTATAACAATTATGAAAACGATATTAAGATGACGCTAGAATCCTAGATGGATCTCGATAGCATCGCAAATGTTTTTATTTATTCACATCGAACGTAAAATTTTTTGCATTTTCATAATTGATATTTCGCATTTATTTACTTGCTAACAGTTATAGTAATATATACGGAAACAAACTTCAAGCCTTAAAAACATGTATAACGTAACGTACAAATTATGCATACGACAATTTCTGCATGCAGATATGACAACATTTGGTAACATAAAAAACGTTAATTCTCTTCTCAACAACTTTATACTGCATACATAGGAATACATTCTTACAGATGTTTGCAAAATACTATAACAATTATGAAAATGATATTAAGATGATATTAACACTTATATATATTTGCTCCATTTTTTCTTTTGGTCGTTCGATACTTGTAGATGTTGAATATGCAAAATTGCCATGATTTGGAAATTGTCACATTTTTTTTTCTTTTAGAGATTTGGAAAGATTCAATGATAAATATTATTATAAAACATGGTACGAAAACCGTATGAGATTCCTATAAATAGGTCTATAAAACGAGATCTGCCCAAACAGACAAAAAAACCTTCTTTCTTCCTTTTTTCCCGTTGGTTATATATATATATATATATACCTCCCATATATATATTAAAAAAATATGGAGTTACTACAAAGGCTCATGAAACTTATGATTCACATATTACTAATTGTTGTCATTCATGCCCAAACCCACCCCGTTAATTCTTCCTCCTACGCCTCTATCTCAGCCGTCGATGACATCATCGCCGGAGGCACAATGAAATCTCCTATGGATTTACCGGTACGACGGAGAGAGCTTCGCGGTGGAGGCGGAGGCAGAGGCGGGGGAGGTGGCCATGGCGGCGGCGGCGGCGGTCGAGGGAGTGGCAGAGGTGGCCGTGGCTTTGGTGGCGGCGCTGCTGCTGGAAGATCGGCAGGAAACGGTGGTTACCGACATAACCACGGCGGAGCTATCAGCTGTCTCTTAGCCGTGTTGATGGGTTGTTTGGTTCTTTTGTGTTTAGGCCTTTGATTTTTTCTTTGACTTAGTGTTGGGACTTAACTTGATTTCGTGTTATTTATTTATTTTCGTGATTTGACTTTTTCCAAGATGTTTTATTATTGTTATGACTATAAAGATCGACAGAAACTTTTGACCAATTAGTATCCGTATATGAATACGCAATTTAAGTTATAACAATTAATATTTGAGATTTAAAAAACTGCTCATTTCAAACTAATTTAATTATCGATTTAGGATTCTCGTTTTCGCTAGAAAAGCCTTTTATTTTATTTATAAAATTTGGGTGGACTTAGATCTGTAAAATAAATATGAATAAATCTTTTTGGAATCTGAGGAGAAAATGAGATGGATTATTGATATTAAAGGAGTTATTATCAGATACAACGCAACACATCAACGCTATGCTCGGTTACCCCTTGCTTCGTTGACACGTGGTCGCTTGGTGCCCGTTGGACTCTCGTTGAAGTCAAATCTCACGCCGTCTCTTCCACCAACCATCTCCACGAACATCCGTTGTAGGTCCTCCAAACTATCCCCCTGCTTTCACAACCGAGATTACCAAATTGCCCTTCCGGCATCAATACCGAAATACAAACCGCTAAACCTGATTCATTTCCTATCGATCACCAATCATCCAAATTGGCGAAAATAGAAACCTGTTAACGGACGTTTGTTTACGACATAAAAATTGTAACGGAAACATGCCGAATTATTGAACATCGTCACGAAGACCGGTCTAAACCGAAGTAATACCAACGACAATGTCAAACACAGAGCAATTCAATGTTCAACCGGAAAAAAAAATTCCGCACAGATTGCGGACATAAAAGTCCAATAATCGAAGTAATCATTAAACAACCGACCGGTGGTGATATTTTAACGGCAAGTACACTAAACCATAATCTTAACCGGAAAAATAAAAATTACAAGCGGATGATAGTTTGAAAAGAGCATACCTCGTCTTTGACATTGTTCATCATGGAGATCATCTCTTGCATGAAATCGCTGAAATCCTGATCACATAATTTGGTAGAAATTCAGGGGTGTTAACCGAAAAATTTACAAAGAACTCGAATTTGAAATATGTAGAGGCGAAAATGGTAAAACTCTTAAAAATGTTGGATTTTTTAGGAAAAAGAAGAATAAATTTTACTGCTATTGCCGAGGCAAATCATTGGCCACTCACTCAAAAGACGAAACCCAGTGACGAGGAAAACGATGACGTTTTTATTCGAACCCAGAACACACGAAATGACAATGTTTAACCTTAGCCGGCAAATAACAAAGAGAAGAGTGAAAGAGT